GTCCACAGCTCGAGGCTGGGGAGAGACTGTTTCGGCCATGGAGGCCTAAAACTCCATAGGAGTCTCCTATGAGAAGAGGCTAGCGTAGGGTTTTTGAAAACATTGACTAATTTATATAAGATGTTCAGTTTTATTTTTTTATTTAATTAAATTGATATATTGGTTAAAAAATCTTACATATCTTTTTTATTTTATGTTTTATATTTTTAATTAAATATAGTCTATAATACTTAAAAGCTATTTAAAATAACTAAATTCCCTCATCAGTCATCACCAAAGTTTTAATTACTCAATTTAGGATTAAAGAATAAATTTATTTCCTCTACAAGTTCCCAATTTCTCCTTTTTCATATTTTTTTGGCCGAAAATTTAGCTTATTGAATTAAGTCACTGTTATACTAGCCCTCAATCATTATTATACAATTCAGCTATTATTATCTCTAATTAATTTCTTCTTTCGATAAAAGCTCAACCACTTCACCAACGATTATTGACAAAGTTTCTCTAGTTCAGTCATTGTTATCTCTAATTAGTTTCTCCTTTGCTGTAAGAGTCCAAAAAATGTGTTTTATACTCAACTAAATCATTCCCAATAACCGACCACTTGGTATATATAGACTAGCAGATAATTTTATGTTTATCAAACCATTGATAAACCAAAATGTGCTTAGTCACACACCCTCTAAAATAATTTTTAAAACTAAATAGTCGTGTTAATTTGCCTAAATATAATTGGAAGTGCCAGGAGGAAACAGAGACGATATTTTTTATGATACCAAAAATAGCTTAATAATTTTGGTGTAATGAAGTAAAATTGTTGAGTGAGCATTTGTGAAATTAATCCAAATAGCTCTTATATATGATTCCAATGAGACCCCTAAAATTTGAAACTCATGTAACAATTCAAATAGTCTTTATTGCACCATCTTGAAAAAAAGAAAGAACACTTATTAGTAAGTACTACTTCATTTATTAGCATTCAAGAGTTTCTTAATCACAAAGTATATCTGTGTGGTAAGGTAGGTAATCAGCAATCAGTATTTGCCTAGAAATATTCAAAACACTTGCCTATACCAAATTCAATGACTAAAATGTAGCCACAAAGGAATACTTTTTCATCATTTACAGTTTCTAATCTGCATTTTGATCAACTTTTGCACCAAAGGGAAGGCATACTCTTGCAGCATGGAGCACTATAGCCGGTAAATTGAAGAAGACAGTGAGTGCGCGATTGATAAAGTCAATATCTTCAAAGAGAACATCGTACAATAACTCTTGGGTATATACCACAAAGTACCCCAGGAACAATATCACCGCAGCGGTTCCCTACAACAAGCAGTATTCATCATCAAGTCAGTCATATTATTCATTCATTATACAGACGCGAGTTTAGAGCTAGAGTCAGTGAGTTTAAAATGACTTATCATATTGTATGTATACATATTAAGTTCGAGGCAAAAGTAATGATTTATTAATATGGGAACTGTTTTATAGGATGAGTGTGATCGCATTGTATGCATACAACTGCTTACCTTTAGGATGGCTTGGACTGTGTAGCTGTCACGGATAAAACAGCCAATCACAAGCAAGACTGCTAACATTACAAGACAACAATAAAGCAGGCCACCGTGGTAGATGTGGCTCCTTTCCCTTGTTATTGTGACTTGAAACATGACAATTGCAATGCCAACTGTTGTACCTGCAAAAAAGCTGGCAACAAAGCTGGAGAGCAAGCATGGAATGCTTTCTGAAGTTAGATATTGTTCAAAATAAGGAACAGAGAACAACAAGGGCTATCAACTACACATACTGTAGGGGTAAAGTAACTGCTATTGAATTCATTAAGATGCAATATAATGTAGGAATTAACAGAGCAAGCAAATGTCTGTTATTTTAGAACAAACTCCAGGAATCAGGGGTAAATTATCTATGTGAACTCTTCGCAATTTGGTGCAGATGCAGAACTCTTTCACATTCTGGTCATCATATTGCTCAACTTCTCCCATTCTAAGCCAAACATAGTTCAAAATTTGAAACTGTATGTGCTATAACATATACTAATAGCCAAGAATGCAGAGACATTAAAACTGTTCAGGTTTCCAAAGAAGCACATAATTGTTAGATACATTTTTCTAACTATAATTGAAGTCAAGTCCCCTAAGTCCATGAAGGATACAAGTAATTTCAGGGTATATGAATCTTAATTACAAGCCATCAATTTAGAAGTCCAAAACAATAGTTTATAGCCTAACAACAGACCAACATTCTAGCACCCAATGCTGGACATATTGCTCAATGTTTTTCATTCATAAGCTAAGCATAATGAGAATTCTAAACTGTGAAAAAGCCTAGGTGATCGATCATGCCATTAATGCACAAATTAATTTTCAGACATTCCAGGATGTCCAAAACATACGTGATCCTAGCCACATTTAGCTAACTACGTGCAAGAATGATACAAAATGTCAAATCCCTCCATTCATGTGCCCTTGTACTCACAAGTCCTTACTACAGAATTTTCACAGAGAGAATAGTCATTCAAATTGAAGATGAAAAACAGTAGTTTCTACAAGGATAAAGTTTTTATACTAATCAGCAAAAAGCCTTTCTCTGTACACAATTGAAGACTACAAAAATCAGTTTCCTGATAATATGATATGAAAAGAAAGCAGTAAAAGCAACCACATAAAACATCAACAGCAGATATCTGAACAATGTTTAGCATCTTTTGAGCCTTACTTTTGATGCATTTCGAAGAGATATTTGGTAAGAAGGCCAACAGAAGCCCCGAAGGAAAAGGCATAAATCATCAATAGTGAGCGCCTTTGATTCTGCATAGACAGAGGATTTACAAAATAAGAAGCGACTTGAAGAACAGTTCAGCAACTTGGAAGAAAATCTACGAGTCATTGATCACGTACCAGTCTCCATGGTGGTGTAAAGTAAAGCCAGAGTAAACTTGCTACACAACAGAGGACTGTGAACAGCCCTCCCACTTCCCAGAACAAGTGCAAGTAGGATCCAATAGTAGAGCAAAACATGACATTGAAGAAAGTAAAATACACCTATATCATCAGTAAAAACGAATCAATCACAGGAAAAGGGCCCTTCATAGTGTTGGAATTAGAAGCTGAAATCTGAAATTGCACGAAACAGACTAATCCGTCCCATTCAATTGTTATGCTACTTTCATTCAAAACAACTTCTAAGACTGAATAGGGAGCCAGGCTTCAATAACAAACTCGATACAAAATGTTACTCCAGTTGTTTTATCACTAACGTCATAAGCAAGTGCAGAGGAACAGCAAAAATTACGGCAATACTTTAAAATCTTCTGAGAAGCAGAATTCATCAATCCTGAAGATTTTAGAAAAGCAAGTAGAATGTTGCCTTATTTCTTACTGTTAAAAAACGAATCGACTATGATTATCCGCAATATTCCGAGAACCGAAATTCATCAATAGTGAAGATATAAAAAATTTAAGGATTTAGCATCATCTTCTGATCAGCTATTAGTAACATGACTAAAATCTCGATTTCTCAATCTTATATTACAACATTTTTCTAAATCAATATTTTGATCAGAACAGTAATTCTTAGGTATAGGATAAATGTACCGCATTCAAGATGTCGAGAGTTTCCTGGTTAACTTTTCCAGATTTCATCAGGTCTTCTCTTCCCCAGTTCCTGTTGAAGTACGATTTCACAGCATTCATCGCATGGAGTTTCAGCTCTGAGAACTTCATCTTTCTTCTCTATTTTTTTCAGAGAGAAAATGGAAATGGAAAAGTGATGAGGAAGAATGAGGAGCGTGAGCTGTTTTTATAGTTTTGCAGAGAAGAGTTCATTACCAACGACTGCCCTTGCCATTACTCTATTTCAGATATTTACGGTTTTACCTTTCAGTTATGGGCTGAATTTTGGGAATAAGATGGGGTAATTTCGTCAAGGAAGTAAAAGAATCTCCTGACTCAGATCATTGGCGGGAAGGTTTTCCTTTTTCTCATTTGGTTTTTTTAAATTACTCCTGTGGAACAATTGTATTTCTGATATAAAAAAAAAGTCGAAAACTTATCAGTTTTTGATGAATTATGTTGAAACAATGTTTTTTCTCTTTCTTTATTTATCAGCAACACTAATATATGTAAGTTCAAATTCAATTGTTATCCTTTTCGGCTCGTTAATAAACCCATAATGAATTCCAGTTCATTGTAAAAGAAAGTTGATGTTTATTTTGGTTGTCTTTGACAATGAAGAAAATATTTTCATAGAAAATGAAATAGATAACAAATCGTTCGTGTGTTTTCTAAAAAGGTGCAAATAAATACGTTTTCCTGTTAAAACAATTGAAATGTCTTTATCTGGTTAACAAAGAGTGCTTATACATTGGGGGTGAGTGGTGACCAACAGAGAGCAAAATAGACCAACTGAAAAAATTGGTAAGTGGTTTTCGAAAATTGATGTGAAGAGAAAAGCTAACCGATTTGTAGCTAAAATTATGTGAAAAAATTGGGATTACAATTACTATTTGCCAAGGAATATAATATTCAAAGCACTTAGCTTCAGACTAACGAATTTCAAATTTGATCAGTAAAATGTAGTGAAAAAGGAATACTTTTCATCATTTACAGTTCCTCATCTGCATTCTACTCTCTATTTATTCTACAGTTCCAAGTGTATCAGCATTAATTCTGTCGGTGTTGCTCAATTTTTGCACCCAGGCATAGTCTTGCAGCATGGACCACTATACCCGGTAAATGGAAGAAGATGGTGACTGTGCGATTGACAAAGTTAATTTCTCCAAAGTGAGCATCATACAATATCTCTTGGCTATATACCACAACGTACCCCAAGAATAATGCAAGCACAACGCATACCTATCACACAAGCAGTACTCATCATCAAGTCAGTCATATTATTCGTTCATTAGACAGAAGCAATGATTTATAGGATGTGTGTGAGCAAATTGTATGCATGCCACTGCTTACCTTTAACATCCAATAAGCTGCGTGTCTGTCAATGAATTCGAAAGTTCTAACAACACAGGTGGCAAACATTAGACTCAAAGGATAGCTCGGGCAGTTGATGTAGATTTCTCTCCTTTCCCTCGATAACAAGGATTCAATCCAGAAAGTTCCAATGGCAAGTGTTGGACCTGCATAAAGGCCGACAACAAGGCTGGAGAGCAAGCAAGGAATGCTTTCTGAAGTTAGATATTTTTCAACTTACCAAATATTCTTCAAATAAGGAACACACAACAACGAGAGATAATCAACTACACATAAAGATGGAGCAAAGTAACTGCTATTGAATTCATTAAGATGCAATATAACGTAGAAACTGAAAGTGCAAGCAAACGTCTTTGTCATATTAGAAATGACTTCAAGAATTCAGTGTAAAATTATTTAAGTGCACTCTTTATAATTTCGTCATGTTTCTTGGTTTCACTCATTTATGCGCCCTACTTGGTGCAAATGAAGAACTCCTTCACAATTTGGTCATCATATTGCTAAATTTCTATGTGCCATAACATATACTAGTAGCCAAGAATGCACCTAATGGTGAGATACAATTTTCTAACTGTAACTCCAGTAACATACCCTAAATCCATGAAAGATACAAGTAATTACAGGGTATAGGAATCTGAAGTACAAGTCAACAGTTTACAAGTCCAAAAACAATAGCTAATAACCTAACAACAGACCAACATTCTAACACCCAATACTCATATTGCTCAATATTTCCCATTCATATGCTAAGCATAATGCCAATTCTGAACTGTGAAGACCTAGGTAATCGATCATGCCATTAATGCACAAATGTGATCCTAGTAGCCACTTTTAGCTAACTGCGTGCAAGAATGATAAAAAATGTCAAATTCATCCACTCCAATACTATTGTTCTCACAAGTCCTTAGGTAAGAATTTTCACAGAGGAGGTAGTCATTCTAATAAACATGAAAAACAATACTTAGTTTCTACAAGGATACTAACTTTTCCAGTTAGGATTTCGAGTAGATCTAATGATTATTAAGGATAAAGTAATCACAAGTATAAATACCAATCAGAAAAAAGCCTTTCTCTGCACATAAAGACTACAAAAATCAGGTTCCTGATAATATGATATGATAAGAAAGTAGTAAAAGCAATCATATAAAACTTCAACAGAAGATATCTGAACAATGTTTAGCATCTTTTGAGTCTTACATTTGATTCATTCCGAAGAGATATTCGATATAAAAGCCAAAAGAAGCACCCATGTTACAGGCTGCAAACATCAAGAGTGAGACCCTCGTCCTCTGCATAGACCGAAGATTTACGACATAAGAAGCGACTTCAATAATAAATCAACAACTTGGAAGAAAATCTACAAGACACTTATCACTTACCACTCTCAATGGTGATATAAAGTAAAGACAGAGTAAACTTGCTACAGAAGAAAGGACTGTGAACCGCCCTCCCGCTTCCCAGATCAATTGCAAGAAAGATCCAAAAGAAAAGCTCCACAAGGTACATAAGAGAGTAAGATACACCTATATTTTCAGCAAACTAATCAATCACAGGAAAAAAGGGGAATCCAATACTTGGAAGCAGAAGTGAAAATGCATCTTTTCCGGCTAACTAGGTTTTGCAAAGAAAGAAAAGATCAAACACAAGATGCTGAAACCTGAAATTGCATGAAACAAGTAAATCCCTCCATCCAAAATTATATGAAACAAATACATTTTGGGAAGCTTGAATGCACTTGGCACCATTAAACTTCATTTAAACTATTCAAAAACAACTTTCAAGACTGAATAGGGAGCATGGTTTCAATACCAAACTTGACTCGAAATGCTTAACAAAAGTTGCATGTTACTCCAATCATTTTGTCAGATTATCACTAACAGCATAAGCAAGTACAAATTAAAAGAAGAGAAAAAACTATGGTAATCCTTGTAAAATATTCAGAAAAATCGAAATTCATCATGAATACTGAAGAATTAAGTAAGCAAGTACAAAAGAAGAGAAAAATTACAGTAATACATGTAAAATATTCAGAAAAATCAAAATTCATCATGAATCCTGAAGAATTAAGTAACACTAAAACAAATCGATTCCAAGTAGATCTCCTGGTACAGCTATCAATAATGAGATCACGTACAGTTACAATATTTTTAATTAACTCGATTCCTCAATCTCTCGATCACAATATTTTTCATAATAAACATTTTAATCAAGTAGAACAATAATACTTACACTTGTGATCAAATATAAAGAAAAAATGAAACCGTAAGAATGAATGTACCCTCTTCAAGCTTGCATAAACGTTCTCGGGAATTTCACCATTATTCATCAGGTCTTCTCTTGTCCAATTCCTTACGAAGTAAGCTCTCACAGCCTTCCTTGCCTGGAGTTTCATATCTGTGAACTTCATGTTTTTTGCTTCAGAGAGAAAAGGGAATCGGAAATTTGATGAAGATGAATGAGGAACTTGAGCTGTGTTTGTTATACACAGAAGAAGAGTTCGTTACCAACAACTGCCCCTCGCATTTCCTCTGTTTGGGAAATATTTACAGTTCTACCTTTCGGTTTTTGGCTGAGTTTAGAGGATATTGCAGGGGTACTTTCGTCAAAGCAGAAAAGGAGAACAATCTCCAGGCTCAGGTCGTTGGCGGGAAAGGGGAGAGGTAGGAATAAATTTATTTTTGACTAAATTAATTACATAAAAATGCCCCAATCCAAAATATTTCCCTAAATTAATTGAGATTGATTTTTTATTTTTAAGAGATTGAATATTAGTATTAGTATTACTTTCTCCTTGTATATATATATTTTTTCTCAAATTGCACATATAATTTTGAAGGAGCAATTTTGTAAATAAATGAACGAAGGAAATCTTAGTGCTACGACAATAATATATTCATATATAAGGTAGAAATTGAAAGAGCGTGCCAGTTAACATTTCCAGAATTCATCAGGTCTTCTCTTCCCCAATTCTATTGAAGTACGATTTCACAGCATTCATTGCTAGGAGTTTCAGCTCTGAGAACTTCATCCTTCTTCTTCATTTTTTTCCCGAGAGAAAATGGAAATGGGAACAATTGTACTTCTTATAAAAGAAAATTGTTATTTTGTTGCTGATAGGGAGTTTTGATGATTTAACAAAATTTGGGAATGATAAAAAAAGGGGACCAATTCAGTTACCTGAAGAGTCATGTTGATAGGGGGGGAAAGGTGAATAAGTCTATTATCATCAAAAAGGAGGAAAATATTATTTTGAAGCTGATGTGAAGTTTTGATGATTTAACAAGCTTCGAGAATGATGAAAAAAGGGGACCAATCCAGTTACCTAAAGAGTCATGCTGATAGGGGGAAGAAGGTGAATAAGTCTGTTATCATCAAAAAGGGGAAAAATGTTATTTTGGAACTGATGTTAAGTTTTGATGATTTCACAAACTTAGAGATCTAAAAAAGGAGCAGATCCTTGTTATTGAGACTGACGATAGGGTAAATGAATAAATAAACTCAGCATGAGAAATATTTGTGTGTCATCATCAAAAAGGAGGAAAATGTTGTTTTCTAGGTGTTTTGATGATCCTCACAAATGCAGGGACCCGGTCCCTGGCGGAGTGCTCTCGTCTAGATTCAAAATGGTGTACAACTGTAAAGTTATCTTGTCAGGTTAGTTGGTGAAAAGTGCAGTGTACTTCACCAATAGGAAGGACAGACGAGGTTGTTTGTATTAGTGGTCAAAATTCTTGTTGGTGACTGATATATACAACAATAAACAAACAATATTATTCATTCAAAAAGAGAGAGCGTTAGCAAGTCTTTTTCAAGAACACACTGCAAGGGACCTGGTCCCTAAAAGACTGCGTACATGAAAAAGACGAAAAGACAACTGTTTAAAAGTTGTCACATCTGACATGGTTGGTGCACAACTTTTCAGAAAAGCAGCTCTCAGCCAATGGTCTCACAAGACACAAACCAAGATTTGGCAAACAAAGATTTGAATTTCTGAAATTCATAAGCTTACAAAGAAGAAGCCATCTTCAAGGAAGAACACTGCTCATATCAACAAGGGACCTGATGGAGTGCTGAAGAGTCTTTGTTGTATTTTGAGCTCTGTATCTTATGTGCTTACATTGTAAATCTACTCCTAAGTTATAAAGGATAGTAGATCATTTGCTTGTCTAAGTTCTTAGTTTGAGTCGTATTAACTAGAGTTAGTTAGTCGAATCATCTATTTTTAGTCAAGCCTCTTTACATCATTGTTTTGATGTTCTCTTGGGTAGAGTTGCCTAGGAGTGTCAACTAGAGTTAGTTGATGTGTGGTGCAACAGAGGTGCTGCTCGTTTATGCTCTTGTCTTAGAGATCGGAGTTGGTGGCTAGAGCTAGCCTTGTGGGTTCTTAAAGTATAGATCAACTAGAGTTAGTTGGTTTAGTGGACAATAGGATTATTGTTTAGTTTCCTTTGTAGTAGAGTTGCTACTGTAACGGGGAAGGGATTAAAGAGTTTTAATTCCTAGGTTGCAAGAGTTTGTAATTGGAAACTTTGCTCCGTTTAAATGAAATGGAGTTTGGGTTGAAATTTTGTGAGTATAGGTCGTGTTTTTCATCGCCCTTGAGCAAGGGGGTTTCCATGTAAAATATTGTGCATGATTTACATGGTGCTATTTATTTTCTGTTCTTTTATTCTGTCGGGGAACCTGGTCCTAATCACTGGTGGACACGTACATTCCAACAAAAACCTTAAACTACTACTCAAAAATCACAAACAACGAAAACATCACACGTTATTCATATCAGTTGCGATGAAGATTTCCTCTAATCTATTGGTTTCATGTGCTGCTCCCTTGGGTGCTGTTGGAATCGAGAGCGTGAGAACTACTTTGCTTGAAGCGCTAGTTTTTGGTGAAAGTTGTTGAGAAAATGTTTTTTCTCTTTCTTTATTTATTAGCAATAATACTATATGTAAGTTCATGTTAAGAAGTCCCACATCGGTAGAGGGATGAAAATTTGGTCTCCTTATAAGGACTTGGACAAACCTCCCCTCATGGGCTAGCTTTTGAGGTTTAGTTAGGCCCAGGTGTCATATTTTTACATGGTATTAGAGTCAGGCCCATCCCGATTTGTTGTTCGACTTGTGAATATATCCATAATGAATTAATTCTAGTTCATTGTAAAGAAAGTCGACATGTATTTTGGTTGTGTTTGACAATGGAGAAAATATTTTCCTAGAAAATGAAATAGATAACAAATCATTCATGTGTTTGCTAAAAAGTTCCAAATAAATACTTTTTCCTATTAAAACAATTGATTAGTCTTAAAAGGAGTACTATTTGGTTAAGCAAAAGTGCTCATCACCAACAGAAAGTAAAATAGACCAACTGAAAAAAAATTGAAAGGGTTTTTGAAAAATTGATATCAAGAGAAAAGCTAACCGATTTGTAGCTAAAATTTTGTGAAAAAATGGGAACGCTAGAATATACAATTACTATTTTCCAAGGAATATAACATTCAAAGCACTTGGCTTCAGACTAATGAATTTCAAATTCCCCATCTGGATTCTACTCTCTATTTATTCTACAGTTCCAAGTGTATCAGCATTACTTCTGTGATTCTATTTGTGTTGCTCAATTTATGCACACAGGCATAGTCTTGCAGCATGGACCAATATACCCGGTAAACGGAAGAAGATGGTGAGTGTGCGATTGACAAAGTTAATTTCTCCATAGTGAGCATCATACAATATCTCTTGGCTATATACCACAACGTACCCCAAGAACAATGCAAGCACAATGCATACCTATCACACAAGCAGTACTCATCATCAAGTCATTCATTAGACAGAAGTAATGATTTATAGGATGTGTGTTAGCACATTGTATGCATACAACTGCTTACCTTTAACAAAAAATGAGATGTCTGGCTGTCAATGTAGTCTGCATTACTAGCAACAAAGGTGGAGAAACATAGAGCCCAAGAATAATACAGGCAGCCCAAGTAGATATCACTCCTTTCCCTCGTAAACATGGACCCAAACCACATAAATCCAATGGAAAATGTTGGAGGTGCCAAAAGGCTGTAAACAAGGCTGTAGAGCAAGCAAGGAATGTTTTCTGAAGTTAGATATTTTTCAAATTAACAAAATATACTTCAAATAAGGAAACACAGAACAGCAAGAGATAATCAACTACACATACAGAAGGAGCAAAGTAACTGCTATTGAATTCATTAAGATGTAGAAATTGAAAGAGCACTCTTCCAATGCCTTTGTTCTCAAAAGTCCAGAGTAGGTAGTCATTCTAATTAAAGATGAAAGCAGTAAAAGCAACCATACAGAACATCAACAACAGAAATCTGCACAATGTTTCTAGTCTTACTCATGATCTATATCAAAGAAATATTTGATAAAAATGCCAATAGAAGCACCGATGGAAAAGGCAGCAATCATCAAGAGTAAGACCCTCGTCCTCTGCATAGACAGAAGATTTACGATATAAGAAGCGACCTCAAAAATAAATCAACAATTTGGAAGAAAATTTACCAGTCACAGTGCACGTACCACTCTTAATGGTGATATAAAGTAAAGACAGAGTAAACTTGCTACAGAAGAAAGGACTGTGAACAGTCCTCCCGCTCCCCGGGTCCAGTGCAAGAAGGATCCAAAAGTAAAGCTCCACATGGCAAAGAAGAGAGTAAGATATACCTATATTTCAGCAAACTAATCAATTACAGGAAAAAAGGAGAATCCAATACTTTGAAGCAGAAGCGAAAACGCATCTTTTCCAGCTAACTAGGTTTTGCAAAGAAAGAAAAGATCAAACACAAGATGCTGAAACCAGAAATTGCTTGAAACAAATTAATCCCTGAGTCCAAAATTATATGAAACGAATTCATTCTGGGAAGTTTGAATGCAATTTCATCCAAACTATTCAAAAACAACTTTCAAGACTGAATAGGGAGCAATGTTTCTATACCAAACTTTACTCAAAATGCTAAAGAAAAGTTACATGTTATGCCAATCGTTTTGTTTGATTATCACTAACAGCATAAGCAAGTACAAAAGACAAGAAAAAATTATGGTAATACATGTAAATATTAAGAATAATCGAAATTCATCATGAATCCTGAAGAATTAAGTAAAGCAAGTACAAAAGATGAGAAAAAATTACGGTAATACATGTAAACTATTCAGAAAAATCAAAATTCATCTTGAATCAATTCCAAGTAGATCTCCTGATACAGCTATCAGTAACGAGATTACTAGATAGAAAAATCTCGATTCCTCCATCTCTCGATTACAATATTTTTCATAATCAACATTTTAATCAAGTAGAACAATAATTCTTACATTTGTGATCTAATATAAAGAAAAAATAAAACCGTAAGAATGAATGTACCCTCTTCAAGCTTGTGTAAGCATGCTGGGGAATTTCTCCATTATTCATCAGGTCTTCTATTGTCCAATTCCTTACGAAGTAAGCTCTCACAGCATTCATGGCCTGGAGTTTCATATCTGAGAACTTCATGTTTTTTGCTTCAGAGGGAAAAAGGAATCGGAAATTTGATGAAGAAGAATGAAGAACGTGAGTTGTGTTTATAGTTCGTTATACACAGAAGAGTTTGTTACCAAAGACTGCCCCTCGCCGTTACTCTGTTTGGGAATATTTACGGCTCTACCTTTCAGTTATTGGCTGAGTTTTGCATCTTTTTTCTTTCTTTTTTCTTTTTTTTTTTTAAAGTTTTTATTGGATAAACGAGTACAAATGTCGTGCAGAGAATCGATGGTGTAGATTTTACCTATTTTAAATGTTTCCTCTCGGATGACAGTGTCTTCTCTTCCACAATTCCTATTGAAGTACGATTTCACAGTATTCATAGCTAGGAGTTTCAGTTCTGAGAACTTCATCATTCTTCTCTATTTTTTTCAGAGAGAAAATGGGAATGGGAACAATTGTACTTTCTTATCAAAAAAAGTCTTTAACTACACCTCAAAAATCACAAACAACGAAAACATCACACGTTAATCATAATTCATATCAGTTGCAATGAAGATTTCTTCTAATCTATTGGTATCATGCGTTACGCCCTTGGGTGCCGTTGGAATCAAGAGGGTGAGAAGATCTTTGCTTGAAGCGCTAGTTTTTGGTGAAATATGTTGAAAAAATGTTTTTTCTCTTTCTTTATTTATCAGCAATAATAATAGATGTTAAGTTCGAATTCTATCATCATGCTTTTCGACATGTGAATATACCCATAATGAATTCCAGTTCATTGTAAAGAAAGCCGACATGTATTTTTGTTGTGTTTGACAATGGAGAAAATAATTTCCAAGAAAATGAAATATATAACAAATCATTCGTGTATAGCTAAAATTTTGTGAAAAAATTGGGAACGCTAGAATATACTATTACTATTTGGTCAAGGAATATAACATTCAAAGCACTTGGCTTCAGACTGACGAATTTCAAATTCAATCAGCAAAACGTAGCCACAAAGGAATTCATCATTTACAGTTCTCCCCATCTGCATTCTACTCTCTATTTATTCTACAGTTCTAAGTGTATCAGCATTAATTCTGTGATTCTGTCTGTGTTGCTCAATTTATGCACCCAGGCATAGTCTTGCAGCATGGACCACTATACCTGGTAAACGGAAGAAGACGGTGAGTGTGCGATTGACAGAGTTAATTTCTCCAAAGTGAGCATCATACAATATCTCTTGGCTATATACCACAACGTATCCCATGAACAATGCAAACACAATGCATACCTATCACACAAGCAGTACTCATCATTAAGTCAGTCATATTATTCATTCATTAGACAGAAGTAATGATTTATAGGATGTGTGTGAGCACATTGTATGCATACAACTGCTTACCTTTAACATCCAATGAGCTGTCTGGCTGTCAATGAATTCTGATTTAGTAGCAACAAAGGTGGAGAACATTACAGCCCAAGAATAGAACAGGCAGGCCAGATAGATTTCACTCCTTTCCCTCGCTAATAAGGATTCAGACCAGATAGCTCCAATGCCAAGTGTTGGAGGTGCCAAAAGGCTGACAACAAGGCTGTAGAGCAAAAGCAAGGAATGCTTTCTGAAGTTAGATATTTTTCAAATTATCAAAATATTCTTCAAATAAGGAACACAGAACAACAAGAGATAATCAACTACACATACAGAAGGAGAAAGAGATAATCAACTACACATACAGAAGGAGCAAAGTAACTACTATTGAATTCATTAAGATGTAATATAATGTAGAAAGTGAAAGAGCAACCAAATGTCTTTGTCATATTAGAAATGACTTCAGGAAATCAGTGGGAAATAATTTCGTCATGTTTCTTGATTTCACTCATCTATGCGCCTCACTTGGTGCAAATGAAGAACCCCTTCACAATTTGGTCATCATATTGCTGAATTTCTGTGTGCTATAACATATACTGCTAGCTAAGAATGCACATAATGGTGAGATAGAATTTTCTAACTGTAACTCCAGTAAAATCCCCTAAAATCATGAAAAGATATAAGTAATTTCAGGGTATTGGAATCTGAAGTACAAGTCATCAGTTTACAAGTCCAAAAACAATAGCTTACAACCTAACAACAGACCAGCATCCCAACACCAATGCTCATATTGCTCAATATTTCCCATTCATATGCTAAGCATAATGCCAATTCTGAACTGTAAAGACCTAGGTGATTGATCATGCCATTAATGCACAAATTTTCAGACATTCCAGGTTCTCCAAAACCTATGTGATCCTAGTAGCCACTTTTAGCTAACTGTGTGCAAGAATGATAAAAAATGTCAAATTCATCCACTCCAATGCCATTGTTCTCACAAGCCTTATGAAAGAATTTTCACAGAGTAGGTAGTCATTCTAATAAAAGATGAAAAACAATAGTTTCTACAAGGATACTAATTTTCCAGTTAGGATTTTGAGTAGATCCAATGATTATTAAGGATAAAGTAATCACAAGTATAAATACCAATCAGCATCAAGCCTTTCTCTGTACACAATTGAAGACTACAAAAATCAGATTTCTGATAATATGATATGACAAGAAAGCAGTAAAAGCAACCATATAGAACATCAGTAACAGAAATATCTGCCATCTTTCTAGTCTTACTCTTGATCTATTTCAAAGAAATATTTGGTAAAAATGCCAATAGAAGCACCATTGGAAAAGGCAGCAATCATCAAGAGTAAGACCCTCGTCCTCTGCATAGACAGAAGATTTACAATATAAGAAGCGACCTCAATAATAAATCAACTTGGAAGAAAATTTACAAGTCACAGTTCACGTACCACTCTCAATGGTGATATCAAGTAAAGACAGAGTAAACTTGCTACAGAAGAAAGGACTGTGAACTGCCCTCCCGCTTCCCATATCCAGTGCGAGAAGGATCCAGAAGTAAAGCTCCACATGGCAAAGAAGAGAGTAAGATATACCTATATTTCAGCAAACTAATCAATTACAGGAAAAAGGGGAATCCAATACTTGGAAGCAGAAGTGAAAATGCATCTTCTCCAGCTAACTAGGTTTTGCAAAGAAAGAAAAGATCAAACACAAGATGCTGAAACCAGAAATTGCATGAAACAATTAATCCCTCCATCCAAAATTATATGAAACGAATTCATTTTGGGAAGCTTGAATGCAATTTCATCCAAACTATTCAAAAACAACTTTGAAGACTAAATAGGGAGCAAGGTTTTAATACCAAACTTTACTCAAAATGCTAAAGAAAGTTACAAGTTATGCCAATCGTTTTGTGTGATTATCACTAAAAAATACGGTAATACATGTAAAATATTCAGAAAAATCAAAATTCATCATGAATCTTGAATAATTAAGTAAAGCAAGTACAAAAGATGAGAAAGAATTACGGCAATACATGTAAACTATTCAGAAAAATCAAAATTCATTATGAATCGATTCCAAGTAGATCTCCAAATACAGCTATCAGTAACGAGATTACAAGATAGAAAAATCTCGATTCCTCCATCTCTCGATTACTATACTTTTCATGACCAACATTTTAATCAAGTAGAACAATATTTCTTACATTTGTGATCATATATAAAGAATAAATGAAACCGTAAGAATGAATGTACCCTCTTCAAGCTTGAGTAATCGTGCTGGGTCATTTCTCCATTATTCATCAGGTCTTCTATTGTCCAATTCCTTACGAAGTAAGCTCTCACAGCATTCATGGCCTGGAGTTTCATATCTGAAAACTTCATGTTTTTTGCTTCAGAGGGAAAACGGAATCGGAAATTCGATGAAGAAGAATGAAGAACGTGAGTTGTGTTTATAGTTCGTTATACACAGAAGAATTTGTTACCAAAGACTGCCCCTCGCTGTTCCTCGGTTTGGGAATATTGCAAGGGTAATTTCGTCACAGAAGAAAAAGAGAAGAATCTCCTGCCTCAGCCGTTGGCGGGAACGGGGAGAGGTCTGGAAATATATTTTTTTAGGTAATTTCTCTTTTCCTTTCCTCTTTTTATTTTGTTACTCGTTCTAGAACACGTGCGTTGTGCGTGTATTTCAATTTAATAGTATAAATATTTTAAAAATTAAAGTATTTGAATTAAAAAAAAATTAGATGTCATATGGACATATTAAAAAAAACTACCTTTTATTTTTAGAACTATTTTTCTGTACATTAATTTTTATTTTATAAGGTGCATAATAGATCATGTTCTTGTTGTTGGTTCTCATATTTGACTTCTCAATTGAATGTGTACATAAGTCAAAGATAGTTATTTAACTTTCCATTTTTTTCATTGATAAACTAAAATTAAATATAAAAATATATTCAATATATGAATTTATATATATAATTACATGTTTAACTTACACCCAACAAATATATTGTTCATATCCTTGTAAATTATTTTCAATTTATACAATAAGACATGATTCGTTTCAATGCCAATAACAATGTGGTGTTAGGGGTGGTATAAGAATCTGAAAAGTTATTGCGCAAAAAGTTAATATAAAGAAAGATGAAAGATAGAAATAACTAAAATAATTCATAATGTTGTAACTAAAGAATATAATAAAAGGGTGTGAATGACATTTGCAATAATCTATATCATATCATATCATCATCATCATCATATTACTAAAAGTGGGAACAAAAAAGTTAAAAGTTGAAATATCATTTTCCCCCTATACTAATTTAAAATATTATAAATATTTAGTTAATTACATGTTTGAATCAATTACTACATTGAGTAAATGGAGAGTTCATTGCGTATATTTAATATTCTTAAAGTTATTCTCTTTTATCTATTTTGGCCCTTTGAAACCTTCAAATATTTAATTTAAAACTTTAAGATGTCTTTTGGTGTTCCTCTATTTTTATCTATATAAATTCATCTTTTTTGTTTCATGAAACTCGCATCCAAAATTATCCTTTTCATTTTATCATTAAAGTAGTGAAGCCATCAACATCTAAAGTATATGATATATCTACCTTAGTTTAAATATATATCACTTTAATTTACGAAAATAAAGTGATTTTTCTATTTGATTCATGCTTTAGTTTGACTCGATAGAGAAGACTTTTGAATTTTGATTGGATATAAGAGAAGGTGTCG